CCAAAGCCCATTGTTCTGTTATTTGCTTCACTGTTTGCTGTACTGACTATAAAATAAACTCCTGGGACTGAAGCTGGGTTCGACTCCTCAGAGTGACCCTCCTGGCCCCACTTCTCTGTAAGAGTTGTGGCATTGGTTATTGTCTCCGCCGCCCCGACAACCGTCGCTGCTGCGACAGATGGTGCCCCGTGTGAGGAGCTGCGACAGATGGTGCCCCGTGTGAGGGCAGACCGCCGTATAGCTGCATAAGCGCCCTCGCACTCAATCCCTTTAGGTGGTGAGTATCAGACGTCCGTTTCAGGCTGTTTAAAGGCACAGCCCGAGAGTGGCGGGGGTTTTCTGCGGGTAGAATTTTTCCGAACGCTCTCAGATCAGGCTGCTTTAGCCCCAGAGCGGCAGGTCTTTCCTGACCGCTCCCAAGGGATTTCAGCTTCAGGCCAGGAGCTTTCCTATCATTCTTTCCTTCATTTTCCTATTCCTCCTCGCTATGGGGAATTCTCCTTCTCCTGAGCAGCGTCAACACAAAACCCAGTTGTTGGGATTGTTAAAGGCCTCCAAGCTTAAGGTGTCAGAAGAAGCCCTTACCCAACTTCTGCTTTTAATTGAATCTGCCATTTCCCGACAGGTAGACAATGAACAAGCAGCTGAAGTTCTTTGTCTCCAGCTTGCTTGTGAAAATGCTAATGCTGACTGTCCGGCTGTTTTAGCTCTTTTAAAGGCACAGTGTCACCGCTGTGGTAAAGGCTTTCATTGGGCTAATATATTCTGGGTTTCTCTATGCTACAGCTCTTTCTGGAGAACTTTCTACTCATGCCTGTCATCATTTCACCCAAGCCATTGCAACTATGGGATGTCCCCAAGCCCTTAAAACTGATAACGGTCCTGGATACACTTCTGCTAAATTTCAACAATTTTGTGCCACTTGGAATATTCTTCATTCCACTGGCATTCCTTATAACCCTCAAGGGCAAGCCATAATTGAACGTGCCCATCATACTCTCAAACAGCTCTTAAATAAACAAAGGGGGGGAGATGATGGGTCTAGAGTATGTGACCAAAATGAAAGACTTGCCAAAGCTCTCTTTACCTTTAACTTTTTACTGGTTGCCAAAGATGGTCGTACTGCTGCAGAATGACATTTTGTCCCCTCTGACACCCGACCTCGCCCACAGGTCCTCTATAAAGATCTTCAAAATCCCTCCATCTGGCAAGGACCTGTAGAATTACTAACCTGGGGGCGAGGGTATGCGGCTGTTTTGTCTCCTACAGGCCCACTTCGGATTCCCGCTCGATTAGTAAAACTATATCATGACCCAGCGACAGCCACCCCCTTCCGCTGGCCAGTCAATCTAATTCCAGAGCGACAACTGACACCATCACCCCCTCCCCTGGGGAAGGAGAATGAACAACAGAGCTTTGCAATACCGGTAACATGGGGAGGTCTGAAAGCCCTCTCCTCCAAAGCTGAACATATCCTCTCAACTACAGGTGCCCCACTTACACCTGAAAATCTAACTATGGTCTCCTTCGTGACCTTCAGTTCTCAACAGGTATGTGTTTTCTCCCTCCTCCTTTCTCCGGTACTAACAACCTCTGCCTCAACCACCTATTGGGCTCACGTTCTTAGCCCCCCTGTCTTCCACCCCGTTACTTGGGAAGAACCAGAGCCCCCTCTTTCCTATAATGATACTAACGTTACTGGAGGACAATATTTGGCCTATTCCAAACCACTTACTAACTCCCCTGAAGAGGGATGGTTTGTACTGTCCACAAACTGGACACTCTATGCTGACACCCTTCCTTTGTGTTTCACTACTCAGCCACGCACTACTTCTGCGTGTGTGCCTATACTAGAACAATAGTATATGAATTACATTTACTACAATGGCCGCCATCTAGGAACATTAAGCCCAGGCATTAAGTAACAACCTGGTGAAAAACCAGATGGTATCCGGTGGAAAACCAGCACCGTGAATTTAAAGAGCCTGCTATGGCCACCATCTAGATGACTAAGTCCAGGTGTTACTCATAGCTATGCTACTTCTCCTCCTTAAACATATGGAGTGTGCCTCAGCCATAGCTGGGCTCACAAGGACTCACTAAGACACCAGGCCCTGAGGTGTGGAGACAGTAGCTGAGATAATCTTAGACTTTATCTCGTAGAGAAAATTTTACTTT